GCGGAACTTAGCCATTACACCAACTATTGGTCATCCCCCCCCCCTTTTTTGATAATTACTTTTTGAAAATTATTTATTTAGTTTTACTGATTATTTAAAATATTTGTTATAGGGCATATGTGCTAATCAGAGAGAGGGAAAAAGAGAGAGGGAAAGTGAGAAAGCAAGCCACCAGATCTGGTGATAGAACTGAGGTCAGCCATGTGGGAGTCCTGTGCCTTAACCACCACACCACATCCTGACCTTAGAACAGTGATTCTTAAAGAGAGGTTTACCAGTAGTCAGTGTGTGTACTGTACTTACTTTGAGGGTTGCAGCAATATAGTAATTAAATGTAGAAAAATAATAATTTTTTATAAGGGAGTGAAAAACTTCTATCAACATTTCCACGTCTTCATAAATGGAGTAGTAAATATGCAATTTTTTTTCCACAGCTCTTCTCTATACTGAGCTCTTTCGTGTGGGATTATTTAAAATTTGTCACATCAACAGATGACCTTGCACTGGGGAGAAGTGGCAGTGGGTTGCTGATCTTTGGTGTACACTTTCTCACTCCTGTGTTAGTTCCTTTTTTTTTTTTTTAATGAGCTCTAAAGTGACAGGTTACACTAAATCTGAATCTTATTTCTTCCACCAAATTCCTGGGGATTTTTTAAACAATACACATTCCTAGCCCTAACTCCTTCCATTAATTTACCCAATCAGTTACTCCAGACTTGGTCTCAAAGTTATCGATCGTATAAATATCCAAGGTGAATCTGAAGGGTGGCTACTTTCAGGAACCTCAAGCTGCGATACAACCACATTTATGATTGGTCAATAAATAGTGCAGGGCCAGCCTGTGGCTTGGTAGTTAAGATGGTGGGATCTCACATGACTGACTGAATGCAGTCACTATTTGAGTCCTGGATCTAGTGATTTGAAGAACATGGTGGTCACATGTGTATTCCTATCCAAAATTCAGAGAGGAGACTGGAGAAGGGATGGCAGCATGGTCAACCCCCCGGAGGTGCTTTCTTATTTTCTCTCTCTTTCTTCTTCACTCTCTCTCTTCTCTCTGCCTCTCTCCAGTGGGTGCATGCACTCTATAGTGAATTTTTGAAAAATAAATAAACAGGGGCAAGCCAGTGACATGGTGATTAAAGCAGGTATATTCCACATGGCCTGCTGCTTGGTTGTAGTCCCAGACTCAATTGCTTGAAAAATGCACCCAGTGGACCTGGCAAACCGAGAGTGCATGAGCATCAAAGGTGGGCCCAGTCTTGCATTTTTAACTGGAAGCCTCTGCCCCAATGCTCTCCTTCCAGTCCACCACTTAGTGAACTGAGGTAGGGTGGTCTCTCTCTTCTACGTGCCTCTGTCTGTCTGACTCCCCTTATCCCTATTTCTCTGCTGCATGGTTTTCATTTTTCTGCCTTTTTAAAACAATTTTCCCCTATTCATTTTTTTAGTTTGGTTTGTTTTGACTTTTTGGGGGGTCTTTCCCCCTTTCTTTCCTTTTCTTTTACCTGACTTTCTCACCTTGCTTCTCAGTTTCCACACACTGAGCGTCTAGACAGATCTAGGTACATAGTAGTGAAATATCTGAACACTTTTAGGGTCATAGAAAACCTTAACACCCACTGAACTGCTACAGAAAGGGAGAAACTCATCTTTATAAATCTGAACTCAAATCTCTTTCTCTAAAAACCACACTACAAAATACAGTAGTAGAGGAGATAAGGTATAGAGGAACTTCACAATAGAGTGAAGTATACTAGTTTACAGTAGCAGAAATCTTGAAATTATCCAAGCATGAATATACCACCAAATGGCTAAGAATCAGAGAAGAGAGACTGCAAAAGGAGCAGCAGGGCGGAACACAGAGCTGCAGGGAGTGCAGCTCATCTTCTCCCACACGCCTCTTACTTGAGATCCCATAGCTCAGTCCAGGTGCACCTATTCCCCAGAAATTGTGAGGCCTTTGTAATATACAGCTCCATCCCCCAAAGTGCAGGTTTCTTGGTGAGGATCAGGGAAACAGAGCTGCAGAAATATTGCAGGTCACCTCCTCTTACACTCCTCTAACAATCAGAATTATCTCCAAGAAAGTAGGAAGTAACATAAAATCAGATGACCTGAAGCCACCGCAGAGGCATAAGAAATATGGAAAACCAAGAAAATATCTCCTCTCGAAAGGGGCAGAACAGTCCTTCACCATCCACAGACTGTACAATGGAACTTGTGGAAATATCACATATAGAATTTAGAATATTCATAGTAATAAAGCTAACAGAGATACAATTGGAAAATATTTCTGAGCCTTCTTCTTTGATGGCAGAATAGCTATTTGCATAAATTCATTAATATAATAGTGTCTGGTGTCTTTCATCAGAAATAGAATTCTTATGTATGTTGATGTGCTTGATTGAGACAATATACAGTGTATTTTGGATGGAAAATTCATTTGTATGCTGTAATGATGTATAGTGAATTAATGTAATAAATAAATAAATATAAAGAAAAAATAATGATAAAAACCCTCATGTTTTGGTTATTAAAAAAAAGAAATAGAATTCTTATGAGGCTTTGTGCAAATAACACACCAAATTGAGATTAATCTAATTTTGGGACAGATAAGTTAGTTTAGACCTCACTTTAGTAAAAGGAAATGGAGAGAGAAAAAAATGTTTCAGAAGAAAATTACAGTGCACTTTTCACAAGATTCTAGCTTTGTTCATATTTTTAGTGTAAGATCTTTTGTGGTTCAATAAAATGTGAAAAAAAGGTTTAGTATGGAAGGGAGGGAGGGGAAAGGGGAAGGAAAAAACAAATAAAAGTATATTTAACTGACAAAAAGAAGCTATTTTCTGAGGCTAATACTGTATATAGTAATATTTTTGCATTGACTGACATTCAAAATATTTGTGCTGGAAAAAGAAATATTGTACACTGTAAGACATATGATTAAATGTAAATAAATTAAAAAAAGAGAAACACCCCTGGTGCACATGCGTGCAGCCTGGCACGTGACCTAACTTAGAAATAACATGACATTTTGAGATAACTTATATTATTCCTAAAGGATTTATAAAGACAACTGTAACCTTGGCATGTAGCTAATACTTTTTTTTTAAAGAATTATTTAATTTATTTTTTCATTTTTTATTTCATTTTCTTTTATACATTCAATCACGTTATTTAGCTTACAAAATGAATATTTCAACAGGTGAACATTTCTCCGTAGTACAGTTGATAAAGCTATAAAATATCTTCAACAGGTATTACCACATTTCTTTGACCTATTAATGCTTTGCCTCCCTATTTTTCTTCTAAATGTCTTTCCTCAGACCCTCCTCTTTCACACACACTATATCTGATATTTACATCTATATACTGCGTTTCTATACCCTTTAGTCAATCAGTTTCACAGAGTGCGCACACTTGGTATATACTAAGTGGGGACATACAATGCCTCTCCTTCATAGCCTGGCTTGCTTCACTCAGTAAATCTTCATTGCGGCACTATTCACAATTGCTAAGTCATGGAAACAACCCAAATGCCCACATAGCTAATAGTTTGAGAATTGTACATTTCAATATTGCTAAGGGAGTAAATTACTAATGTCTTCATCACAAAAACATAAAATATTTGAAGTTATAGATATAAGACTAATTTCATAATTTCAAATTTAGTCTAAAATTTAGTTTAAATATTATAACATTAGGGAAGCAGGTGGTGTGGTGGTTAAGGGCTGGATCTCACAGTTTGGGTCCTGAACCCAGATGTTTAAAAAACACCAGCCAGATGTTAAAAAACACCCAATGTGTGCATGCCCAAAATCCCAAGAGGAGAATGGAGGAGAGTAGATAGTGATGTGGGCATCTGCCCAGGGGGTGATTTCTCATTCCTTCTCTTCCCCTTCATGTCTCTCCAGCAACCACAAACACCTGCACATCTCTAAATAAATAGATGAATAAGTCCTATGACACGATTTTATACCCCAAAATATATAATGATACACAATATTAAAAAAAGATGAGTGTGTACACTCCTTATTTATGTCCCAATATAAAAAATATTAAAAATCCTGGTGTTATCTCCAAGTGCTGATGTACCTCCCTGAAGAACAACTCTTCCAGGCAATAGCTACATCATCCAGCTACAGGTGATCTCAACCTGCTCACAGTCAACTGCAAACTCCTCTCACTGGTTTAAACACAATTCCTTTCCTCAAAGGGGGAAAGCCATTTCCAGATCTTTTAAATCCCTGGGAACCTTATTCACACCTTCTCCATGTGCCAAGGAAGGAGAATCTCTAAAGTCAACCTGACTGTAACCCTTCTTTTCTCAGCAGGGTTTTGTTTTGTTTTGACTTTAAGGTTTCTGCCTTAGGTCACACGCACTAGCTGGGGAGAGACAGCGAGAGGGAAAATGAGAAATCACCCTCCTCCCCACCCAGAAGGGGATGGCCATGCACAATTCTTATCCTCCAGTCTCCTCCTGGGATCTTGGACAGGCATGCACACATGTCCATCATGATTTTCAAGTCACCAGGTCCAGGAAGCAAACTGCAGTCGACGATGCAGGAGTCCACTGCCTTAACCACCACACAACCTGCTGCCCCAGAGGTTTTAAAATTTCATGACTTAAATATTCTCCCTGATGATGTCTTCTCTGCTCAGGTGGTTCTGGAAGAACTACCAATATGTATTGGCTTTTCTCTTTGCCATTGAGGAGATTAACAAGAGCCCCCACCTGCTCCCCAACCTTTCCCTGGGCTCTGATCTCTACAACGCCTTTCCCACTCAACAAAGGACCTTGGAGAGTGCTGTGATCTTACTCTCAGGAGGGAGTCAGCCTCTCCCCAACTACAACTGCAACAGAAAGAAGCAGCCTATTGCTGTCTTCTCAGGAATCACGTCAGCATTTTCAGCTGAGCTTGGAAGCCTTCTAGAGCTCTACAAAAGCCCGCAGGTAAGCACGGTATCAGTTCTGATTGGTGATGTCTGGATCTCTCCTAATGTCATTTGATCTCATCTGACCTGGAATTGCACCATTTAAGTATACCTTGAGAGTTATAAAGATATCCCTGGAATTTCCAGAGTCATGAGAACACCAGAGACAGTGTGGAAGGACGGTGGGAAATGATGGAGAGTGAGGGGAAGAAGTAAACCAAAGGAAGAATACAAAGAAGTAAAATACTTAAAAAACAGAAAATGGAAAATTAGCTTTCAAAGATAATGTGTATAGTACTGCCTTGTATTACACAGTGTATTCTAAATGACAAAATTCATTTTGTTTGCTGTCATGTATACAGTGAATGAATGTAAAAGAAGTTGTATTTAAGTAAATAAGTAAATATTAGATAAAGAGTCAAAAATATGAGGAAGAAAAAGGTGGTGCAATGGAGGCCTGAGCTTCCACTCAAAGTCTTATAGGAGGTCAAGATATCCGAGCCCTGTAATGGGAGTACTGACTACTGACACCCCACAACTGTATGCCCCCTAGGAAATATTAACAGTACAGAAATCTACCCCAACATAGACTAAGACATCCTCGGGGGCATCCACAGGACAATGACAGTCAGATGTAGAGATGAGAAGACCTAGATCTCTGGGCCTACTTTGAAAACAAAAATAAAGGGACATTCCATCTCTGGAGATTTCAAAATGGGCTGCATCTCAATTACACTTGTGATCGATGAATACCTCTGCTCCATACAGCCTTTTTCACACCTATGCAGGTGGATTACTTGGTCTGAAGCCCTCCAGAACACTCCATACACAGTTCTCCACATCAGGGAGTCTTCCAGAGACACTCTCTAACACAGTCATTAGTCAGGACAGGTATTATGACAAGACAGAGGCAGCATAAGCTTAAGTGAATCCTATTCTGGAATAATTATATCAGGCCATCAGAAGAGTCATGGTGCATTATTGCAGAAAAAAACATAATACATCATGACTTTTCTAATGACCCAGTATTTCTAAATATCAGAGAGGGTGGGTCTTTGAAGTCCTCAAGACAACATAGGTTGTGTTTTGGTGATAAATTAAGTCCAGAGTATCAAGAGTAAATCCAATAAAGATTAAGTTCAAAAAAAAAAAAGATTGAGTTCAAGCCAGCCCATGGCACGGTATTGGAGCAGTTGGATCCCACAAGACCAACTGCCCGGTTCGAGTCTTTGACCCAGCAGCTTCAGAAACACACTAGGCACATGTGCGTGCATGTCCTGAAGTCTAACAGGAGGGAAAATGGAGGAGAAGGGATTGCTGCATGATCATTTCCCATGTAGTTGTGGTGGAATTTGCCTTCTCTCTGTCTCTCTATTTCTCTCATGAATGCACCCCTCCTCTGGCTAAAAAATATAAACAGTGGGACCAGCAGTTGATGTAACGGCTATGTCGCTGGATTCCCATGTAATTGACTGTGGTTTAAGTCCTGGACCCAGTGGCTTGAACTCACGCTGGGTGCGTGTGTATACATGCCCAAGGTCCTAAGAATAGAATGGAGGAGAAAGGATTGCAGCATGGCCATCCCCCCCCTGGGGGATGATTTCTCATTTTCTGTTTCTCTGTCTCTCTGGCGAGTGCATGCACTGTATAGCCAAACCTCTCTAAAAATAAATACATAAATAAATAAAAATTCAAGATTTAAATCTATCTCAGAATTTATATCTAATTTGATGACTTAGGAAGCAAACTGGTGTTACATTGCACAGGATTGAATAGTCACTACCACCTTGGTGATGCTCCGTCTTCATAAACTCCACTTCACCTTCAGTTCCCACTGCAGGAGATGAACTGCACATAGGATTTCACAGGTTTTATTTCATACTTTCATGCATAAGTGATAGATTTGACCTGGTAGAGTTGCATGTCCTTTCCTAAAAGCAGTGAGGCTAGGAAACTGTATTTTATCAACAGACTGACAGAACAAAGTCTCCTCTACTGCAGTCTTTCTCATTGTCCAATATTGTGTTTTCTGATCTCCTCAGGCAGAAAGTTCTCTCTGCTCTTTCCGAAAGAAACATCCCCATACCTTTATGCCATCTAGTCTTAGTGTCTGCGTTAGAGTGCAGACAATTGGTATGTCATGAAAGGGGACATACGGTGCCTCTCCTTCATAGTCTGGCTAGCTTTGCTTAGCAGTAAATCTTCCATATTTCTCCACTTTCTATCAAATGTCAAGGTCTCATTGTTTTTAATGACTGAGTAGTATTCCGTAGTGTCTATGTGCCACATATACACCATATATATATTTTCATCCATTTATCTGCTCATGGACATTTGGGTGGTTCCTTGTCTTGGCAATTATGAATAATGCAGCACTGTATGGCATGTGTATCAATGTGCAAAGATTTTAAAAATTGAGTTCATTCCTACTCTTTGGGTAAATATCCAGGACTGGAATTGCAGGATAATATGGAGAGGGAAAGAATCAAAGTGAAAAAAAGAAAGAATCAAAGCATTTAATGGATGCAGAAAAGGAAAATTACCTGTTGATGATAATTTGTATGGTATAATCTTTGACTGCACCAATATACAGTGTACTCAAATGAAAAAAAGCATTTGGTATGCTGTAATGATACACAGTGCTTTAATGTAAGTAAATAAATAAATAGTCATCAGTAAAGTCATGACTTATTTTCCTGTTTTTCTATCCGAAAATGCATCATGACTTTTTCAATAACTTAAGAAATAAATAAACAACATACCTCAATCACCCAATCTCTTTTCATTTATTTATTTATTTACTTTTTTTTAATACATTCAATCACATTATTTAGATTACAAGGTGATCATTTCAATATGTGAACATTTCTCCCTGGTTGAGTTGATCAAAATATAACAACACTACCTTCCTGTCTCAACAATACTATCTTCGTATCCCTCCTCCAAATGTTTTTCCCCAGGCCCCACTCCTCCACACACACCACATCTGGCATTCACATCCATCTCTTGTGTTTGTACACCCTTTAGCCCATCCATTTCAGTTATAGAGTGCGGACACTCGGTATGTATTAAGTGGGACATACAGTGTCTCTCCTTCATAGCTTGGCTTGCTTCACTCAAGAGTAAATCTTCCATATTCTTCCACTTTCTGTCAAAAGCCAGGGTTTTGTTGTTCTTAATGGCTGAATAGTATTCCATAGAGTATATGTGCCACAGTTTTTCAATTCATTCAGCTGTACGGGGGCATTTGGGTTGATTCCATGTCTTAGCAATTGTGAAAAGTGCCACAATAAACATCGATGTGCAAGCACTTTTCCAATGAGAAATTCTTCTCTCCTTTTAAACATCATACTGAAAGATCTAGCTGAGGCAATAGATAAGAAAATGAAATTAGTGGAAAATAGAAATAAAACTGTCTTTATTCACAAATGGCATTAATGATTACATTAGAAAACCTGAAAGAATCGGGAAAAAAACACTCCTGAAATTAATAAGTGATTATAGCAAGGCTGCAGAACATAAAATTAATATAAAAGTCAATTGTTTTCCTACATACCTGCAATTAATAAGTGAAATGTGAAAAAAACAAGTATACTAGCACCCTTAAAATTATAATACTTAGATGTAAATCTAACTAAATTAATTTAATATCTATAAGGAAAACCACGAGATTTTGATAAAAGAAATCAAAAAGGAACTAAATAAATGGAGAGATTCCATGTTCATGAATAGGAAGACTCAATATTGTTAAGGTGTCAATTTTCCCCAACTTGATCTATAGATTCAATACATCCTAATAAAAATCTCAGAAAATTTTTTCATAGATATTAACAAATTGGTTTTAAAGTTGATGTGAAAGGCAAAAGATGCAGAATAGGCATTTTATTTTAAGAAAAAAAGAATACAGTTGGAGGGTTGACCTGACTTCAAGATTTGCTATGAAGCTGCAATTTTGGCTGGACATGGGTAGCACTCTTCGTACCTGATGATACAAAAGGGGAGCAGTTCCTTCAGGATCTAAAAGCACAGATGCTTAGACAAGATATCTGTGTGGCCTTCACAGAGAAGCTCCCTGTGACTACAGGCTTCAGTGTACATCGCGATTTCAAATTCGTGATTAGGTTCAGAGTTTCATCTGCAAATGTGTATATCATGTACGGTGATTTAGGGAGTCTCTTGATCTTAGCCATGCAAAAAGATTTTAATTCAGCATCAGGGAAGGTGTGGATCATGGGAAATCCTCACATACCATGGTGGGATTTTGTTTTCCGTAACTCAAAGAACAGACTTTTCTTATTCCATGGAAGCCTTTCATTTTCATACCAGAAGAGGGAAATCCCTGGCTTCCAACAATTCCTCAAGACACTTAACCCATACCAATACCCAGAAGATCTTTACTTTACTCAATTCTGGTTACTCAATTTCAATTGCACAGTTCATGGATCACATTGCCTAGAAATTAGAGTCTGCCCATCAAATTCTTCCTTAGAGTTTATGGAAGACAAGACTGACATGCTGTCCCTGTCTGACTCCAGCTATTTGATCTACAACGCTGTGTATGCTGTGGCCCAAGTCGTCCATAAGATTCTTTTGGAGAAAAGAGACATGGAATGTCCAGGTGGTACGGAGCAGCCTGTGCTTCTTCCCTGGCAGGTAGACCTCCCCACTACTAGGACATGCCCTGGGCACTTCATGGCGTCTGGAATTATCTTATTAGCAGACAAGATCATGAAACTGTAATTATTGAAAAAGCAACACTATAGGTCAAAATGAAAAAATGTTTCTGTCATGTTGGGGATATGCGTTATTGCTTTCCACAGTTGAAGACTTCTACCATGTGGGGCTTGAGTACAAATGTTATCAGTAAAAGATTTACTAATATAGAATGAAATTCTGTAAAATATAATAAAAGACATTAATTCTTCGGACAGAAAGTTGAACGGTAGTTAAGCACTGGAACCCACGTGGCCAATTCTGCAATTCGAGTCCCATAGTTGGAAGCTTTAAACACATAGGGTGTATGTGTGTGTGTGTGTTCAAAATTTCAAGAGAAGAATGGAGAAAGGATTGCAATGTGGCCATCCCTGCTATGGGTTGATTTCTCTCTGTTTCTTTCTCTCTCTCTTTTTCTCTAGTGATTACACATGCCCTATGGCAATAATCTAAAATATAGAGATAGATCTCAATCATTACATCTACATATTTCCTAGGAATGTATTTCACTCCAGAAAATACTGACATATCAACTCTACATGGATCCAGCTATTTCATCTTCAGTGATGTACATGGCCTGCCTCAATCCCTTCCTATAATGTTGTTGGTGAGAACAGAAAACATCCGACATGTTGCATGGAGAAACATGGAAAACTCTGTCACAACTTTCCTGACAACCTATTAATACCCTATAATTAGTCTAGAAAATTACTTTTAGACATAACTTTTTTCATGAAATATACAACTGTCATCGGAGAAAAGGCCATGGTCCTGTTTTAAATATAAGACCATTTACTATTCATTGCAAGCTCAGACTAGCCTACCTGGTTTCTAACTCATATACAGAGTGTATTTATCAAGTCCTGTCCTGATGCACAAGGACCAAATACGCTGCATAATTTTTTTGAATAAAACAAGCAAATGTAATATATAGACAGAAGTAAATATAAATGTAAACTTAAAATCAGAAAGTGTATTGGGCAGCAGGTGACTTGGAGCTTAAGACTCTGGATGAGTTTGGACATATGCATACATTTCTACCATGATTGCCAGTCTCAAGGAGTCTTTTTCTTTTTCTTTTTTTTTGAGAGAGAGAGAGAGAGAGAGAGAGAGAGAGAGAGAGATTTTCATTATAGGGCGAGTACACTAGTCGAAGACATAATGAGATATGAAAAGACAGAAAGTAATAATAATCTCACAGGAGGATGACCATGTCACAAAACCATCTCCTCCATTCTCCTCTTCAGATTTTGGGCAAGCATGCACATGCACCCTGCATGAGTTTTGTGGTTCCTGGTCTGGGACTCGAATTGCGGTCAACTATTTGGGAGTTCAGCAACACAACAGTTACACCATCTGCTGGTCCCCAGTCTCAAGGAATTTAATGTATTTATCTATCCTGTGCCTTTTTCTTGGTTGTTGATTTGTTTTTGCTGTAAAGCATTTGCACTTGCTGGAGAGAGATCCAGAAAGAGAGAAAGTAAGTGAGAAATCAGGACCCAGGTGAATGGATATGCCACAGTCCCTTCTTCTGTATTTGCCTCTTGAGATTTTGCACATAGATCCACATGTACCCAGAATGTTTTTCAGCCTGCCAGATCCAGGACTCAAACCTCTCAGATAGTCATGTGGAATTCAGCCACCTTACCCCCTGCACTACCCGCTGACCCCATTTTGTTCCCTTTGAAAAGTACCAGATTAGTTTCTAAGAAGCCCAACCAAACATTGTTAATCAGGATTGTAACAGAACCCATGCCTAAGCTACCTTCTGGAAACTTCCTGGAATTTCTCTGGTAGAATGGCACTACTTTCCCAGTGTTTTCACCGGAGGGTAGAGTTTATTTCACAAGAATCTATGAGATGGAGACCACCTGAACAAAACTAAGACTGATCCATCAGTAAATAAACACCCTAAGCATAGAGAGAGGAAAATAGGATTACTTGGGAGACCAGCAGGTGGTATGGTGGTTAGAGTGCTGAATTCCCACAGAGACAACTGCAGTTTGAGCTCCAGACCTAGAGGCTTGCTCTCTCACTCTCTCTCTCTCTCTCCCCCTCTGCCTCCCTCTCTTTCTATCTCCTGAGTACACATGCACTAAAGCAAAAATAATAATAATAAATTAAATTAAATTCAACTTTCTTAAAAGGAGAAGGATTACTTGATGAATGTGGAAGTTCCACGTCTACATTAAATGCACTTCCTGTTTCCAAATTATGCCTCTCCTCCAGCTCCACTCCTTTCTGAGGAAAACTGCATTTACAAACAGCGCTGGGGACAATGTGTCTTTTGGTGACAGTGAACATTATATAGCCCAGTATGATATCCAGAACCTGGTGAAGTTTCCTAATGACAGTTGGATGCTGGTTAAAGTAGGAGAGTTTGTCTCCAAGAGTCCACATGATCGAGATTTGGTCATCGATAAAGAGATGCTGAAATGGCCTGATGTATTCCAAGAGGTATGGCTTAATTTCTATATTGAATTTATATGGTGGTGGGAGAGCCAGCTACTGGTGACATGTTCTAGCCACCTGGGGAGGTGCCTTATTTACATGTAGAGACCTTGGTGTTCATGCCAGGTGTATATACACATGCATGTGATTGGGCACTGGGGGTGGATAACTGCAGAGTGATGGGGAGTGCCTGCCTCTCTATGTTCCCCTAATATAAGAAGCACATCAATAAACTTGAACAATTTAAGGCCTGTGGTAGAAAATGACTTAGAGTTTAAGACAGCTGGATGCCACATGCCTGCTCTGTGGTTCAAGTCCTTGGACCTGGCAACTTGAAAATTATGCTGGGCACCTGTGTTTTCATGCCCTGAATCACAAGATGAGAATTGAGGAGAAGGGATTGCCGAATAGCCTTTGCCTCACACCCAAAGTGGGCGGGGGGTGGATTTCTCACTTTGCCCTAGCTCTCTCTGTCTCTGTCACTGGCACACTCATGCACACTGCAGCAAGAAATTTTAAAAAATAAAGAAGGAAAGAGAATATTTCAGATAAAATGGTTAAATAAGGAGAAAATAACCCAGCAGTTGTTCCCAGGCTGTTTAAAATCAAGTCATCAGGTACCTCAATAATATATGTTAAATAATTTAGAAATAAAGAAGATAGCTATCATAGTCACCCATAGTTTTAAGTGTTAAGTAATACCAAGATTGTACAAGCTGGGGCAGACATAGGGAGGGACTCATGCTAAAGGTCTACACTATTGCTTATGAAGGGAGAAACAGAGATGTCTGTCACAACTGCTGCTGATCCATGTACCAAGCATGATTCTGTGTTTCCCTCAGACTCCTCCATCCGTGTGTACCCAGAGCTGCGCTCCTGGATTCAGGAAAATTGCACAAGAAGGAAGACCCACCTGCTGCTTCCTTTGTGTTTCTTGCCCTGAGAGAGAGATTTCCAACTGGACAGGTGGAACATACACAAGTCCCCTATGATAACGTCACTCACTGTTTCTCAGTAGAAGGAAATTAAGGACACTGGCACCAGTGTTCTCAATCCACGTGTTCACTCATTGTTTTAAATACGCCCATGCTAGGATCATGATAGCTACCGTTAAACCTGTGTCTGGCTGTGTGTGTCCCATTAGGCTCACCAATGGCACTGATTCAAAGGATGCCTTCACCTAAATTCAGTACTGGCTGAATTGAAGTCTGATGGTGACTTTGCCAAAATCTACCTATGAAATGGAAGGTGTGGCAAACCAATGGCTATGTAGTTAAGGCAGCTGGATCCCACATAACCAACTAGATAGTACGAGTCCTGAACCTGATGGGTTAAAAATCATGACTAGTGCATAGGAGTGCATGCCCCAAATCCTAAAAGAACAGAGAAGAGATTGTAGCGTGACAGCCCTCCATGTTGCTTTCTTACTTTCCTTCTCTCTTTCTATCTCTCTGATCAGCACACATGCTCTCCAACATATTTAAAAAAAAAGAAACAGGAATGGAAGATGTGTAATCTCCAGAGATCTCTGTGGATGTTTTGAAGGTTTAAAACTTTTTTTTTTAAATATAGTAAGCACAGAGCAAGTATAAATAAATATTAAGGAAATACTATATATTTTTAATCATGTTCTTTTTTTAGAAGTTATTTAATTAAGTTTATTTATTATTATTCATTATTGTTATTTTACTTTGAACAGAGAGAGTGAGGCTACCTTCTGGAAACCTTCTGGAACATTTTAGTAAATACCATAGTCTGGCACCTCACAAATAACTGTAAACAAGAGATACACTCGATAAATTTTATATCAAAACAATATGTGATACATTAAAATACCAAGTGTATAAAAATTCATTAAACTTGCTTCAATTTCCCTGCACATAAAGAATAAATATTGCAATGATCTGAGTCTCCCATAGGCACTATGCAATGATAATTAGCTTAACTCTAGAAATAATTTGATAATAATCCCTAGACATACTAAATAGATATCATAATGTATGCCAAGAAAGAAAGCGTACACTTCTTGGGTCCCTTACATGTCATGGCAGTTAAGGTGCTGGACTACCATATGGCTAACTGCCATTCAGTTCCTGGTCTCAGCAGCTTAAAAATCACACCAGTGTGGGTGCAGGTACGTGTGTGTGCAGTGTGCTCCATGCGTGTGTGCCCCAAATTCTAAGATGAGAATGGAGAATGGAGAAGAGGGGATTATGGCATGGCCATGGACCCTGGGAGGTGATTTCTCACTTTCTCATGGTCTCTACCTATCTGTCTCTTACAAGCGCACAGAACCTATGGCAAAAGCAAACAAACAGAAAACAAACAAACAAAAAAAATAAAAACAAAAAACACTCAAAAAACACCAACTTAAAATAAAGACTTCTCTTTCTCATGAAAAATTTGCCACACTGTGGAACAGCAGGTGGTATGGTGATTAATTCACTGAATACTTCCACATGGCCAACCACACTTCGAGTCCTGGATCTAATGTCTTGCTTTCTAACTGCCCCCCCCCCCACTGTGTATGTGACTGGTCAATTAAAATGAATTAATGAATACATAATATAATTTAAAAAGATTTGCAATACTAAACATAGGTGTAAGACAAGAAAACTAGACAGGAACACAAAACTCTGGATCCAACATATACATGCTTTTATGTGCCAGGTATGTTTCTGAGACACTGTTGGAAGTTCTGTTGAATCTGTGAAGATAAATGGGCATTTCAAAAGAGAGAAACGTGAGAGAGGATTATGCTTTCAAACTTCTAAAATTGTTCACTATTGCATCAGTATTTTCTAAGAATAATAATAAGACAAGTGAAACCAAATTTCTTGTGTCAGATGTAGAATTTGGGGACTTGCAGGTAGGATAGGGTTAAAGCGCTGGACTCCCAAGTGGTTGACCACTGTTCAAGTCCCAGATTCTGCAGCACAAAACACACTGGGTGTGTGTGTGTGCACACCTAAAATCTCTAGAAGGGATTGTTGCAGGGCCATAACCTGAAGGAGATTGATTTCTCACTTTCTGCCTATCTTTCCAAAGATTGCCCATTAGCTATAGTTAAAAAAACAAAACAAAACAAAAAAAACCCTCTTAAAAAAAAAGGATAAAGAAAAGAAATGTAGAATCGTAATGTGCTCTGTCTCAATATTACAATCAAAGGCAGTTTGGACTCACAATGATAGTCAAAGTGATTATCCTCATCAACATGGCAAACACTTATGGTTTGTGAAACTGAAATGCTGAATCTCTGCTTCCTCCCAGATGCACAGCAGTGTTTCCCATGCCTACCTGAACAGTACCCAAACAGTGAGAGAACTCATTGCCTCCCTAAGCCTGTCACTTTCCTGGGCTTTGAGGATTCTCTGGGAATGGCTCTGGCCTGCACAGCCCTCTGCTTCTCTGTGGTCACAACTGTGGTTTTGGGCTTGTTTGTGAAGCACCGAGACACTCCCATCGTCAAGGCCAATAACCGGGCTCTCAGCTTCACCCTGCTCATCTCCCTCCTGCTCTGCTTCCTCTGCTCCTTGCTCTTCATTGGCCGCCCCAACACAGCCACCTGTGTCCTCAGACAGGTCACATTTGGGCTGGTGTTCACTGTGGCTGTTTCCACCATTTTGGCCAAAACCATGACTGTGATTCTGGCATTCAAGGCCACGATGCCCAGAAGAATACTGAGATACTTGCTGCTGTCAGGGGCCTCTAACGCTGTAATTCCCATCTGCTCCCTGATCCAAGTGATTATCTGTGCAATCTGGCTGGGATCCTCTCCCCCTTTCGTTGACACAGACTCACACTCTGAGCCCAGAAGCCTCATCATCGTGTGCAACAAGGGCTCAGTCACTGCCTTCTACTGTGTCCTGGGCTACCTGGGCTCCTTGGCCCTGGGGAGCTTCACGGTGGCCTTCCTGGCCAGGAACCTGCCTGACACGTTCAATGAGGCCAGGTTCCTCACATTCAGCATGCTGCTGTTCTGCAGTGTCTGGGTCACCTTCCTGCCCGTCTACCACAGCACCAAGGGGAAGGTCATGGTGGCCGTGGAGGTCTTCTCCATCTTGGTCTCCAGTGCAGGGCTCCTGGGCTGCATCTTTGCCCCCAAGTGCTACACCATTCTCCTAGGACCTGATAAAAACTCCTTGAAAGGTTTAAAGAGCAGAAAATTTCCAGAGTAAATAAGAACTGATCTCATAAGGCTATCATGCATTTTAAGGTTTTAAAGAAAAATACTTTGATTTTGTATTCCAATAATAAAGTAACTAAAACTGATTTCACTTTGTCAATCCATTATATTATAAGTTAGAAACAAAGAAATCTATTAGAAACTTAAAACTTTTGTGGGACATGGATATGGTTTGTTGTCTGTTGGTGATGTTGTATACAGTATATATATATATTTTTTTGGAGAGGTTTTCACTATAGGGCACGTGCGCTTGCCAGAAAGACAGAGAGAGACACAGAGACAGAAAGTGAGAAATCAACCCCCGGGGGGATGGTCACGCTGCAATCCCTTCTCCTCCATTCTCCTCTTGGGATCTTGGGCATGCACGCACACGTGACCGGCATGAGTTTTAAGCCACTGGGTCTGGCATGCAAACCGCGGTTGACTACGTGGGAGTCCAGCGACATAGCCATTATGCTAACTGCTGGTTCCCGATGTTGTATACAGTATTTTGAACTCATCTGCCGTGTGGCATATATCATGCTGGGTAAAATCCCTTTACGAACTAAATGATATATAACAATTGAATGTATAAATAATAATAATTTTAAAAATATGTAAAAAGGAATTTTAAATGAAGGCTGATAGAAGGAAAATAAGATGAAATAAGGAATTGCTGGGTCAAGAATAGAGTTCGCTTTAGTAATCACACATCAAGCTGTGTACTTAGGAGGACTTGGTGTCAGAATTATCAAGGCACAGGAAATGAAACAGGTGGAGGGGGTGAGTGGTTTAATTTTGTGAAGGGTTGGGATGTGGGATATCTAATTTTCTCTGAATTGAGTCCTTCTTCTTTGTAAATTATGGAATCCACTTGTTCTAGGAGGATACTGCAGCCTGAGAAGTGATATTAGACATAGTAGCAAAGTACCTTCTGTAGGCTGCACAGGGATTATCAATGGCCAGCATCACTTCTTTCCCTTCTTAATACAATTTCATATAGAACCATGATGAGCTGACTCCCACCCTCACAGCCATTGCAGTACATTGAGCTCCACGGACACAGCGCCAGGGCAAGTGAGAGCCAGGCAGACACTGCATGACTCTGTGCCTCATGGAGGAAAGATAAACACGGGCAAAGGAGATCCTGAGAAGCCGAGAGGCAAAATGTCATCAAATTCATTCTTTGAGCAAACTTGCCGGAAGGAGCACAAGAAGAAGCACCCAGATGCTTCAGTCAACTTCTCAGAGTTTTCTAAGAAGGGCTCAGAGAGGTGGAAGACCATGTCTGCTAAACAGAAAGGAAAGTTTGAAGATAGGGCAAAGGTGGACAAAGCCCGCTATGAAAGAGAAATGAAAACCTATATCCCTCCTAAAGGGGAAACAAAAAAGAAGTTCAAGGATCCCAATGCACCCAAGAGGCCTCCTTCAGCCTTTTTCTTGTTCTGTCCTGAATATCATCCAAAACTCAAAGAAGGGCATCCTGGCCTGATCATTGGCGATGTTGCAAAGAAACTGGGAGAGATGTGGGGTAACGCTGCTGCAGATGGTAAACAGCCTTATGAAAAGAAGGCTGCGAAGCTGAAGGAAAAATACAAAGAGGATATTGCTGCATACCGAGCTAAAGGAAAGCCTGATGCAACAGAAAACAGAGTTGTCAAGGCTGAAGAGAGCAAGAAAAAGAAGGAGGAGGAAGAAGATGAAGAAGATGAGTGAGACAAGAAAGGGAGAAGAGCATGAATTTGAAGAGGAAGATGATAATTATGAATAAGTTGATTCTAGTGCAGGTTTTTTCCCTTGTGTTTAAAGCATGTAACCCCCTGTACACAATTAACTCATTTTATTTATTTATTTATTTATTTATTTGGGAGTGGTTTTGCAATAGGCCACATGTGCTCACCAGAAAGACAGAGACAGAGAGACAGAAAGCAAGAAATCACCCCCCAGGGTGGATGGCCACACCGCAATCCCTTCTCCATTCTCCTCTTGGGATCTTGGGCATGCACGCACATGCGCCTGGCGTGAGTTTAAGCCACTGTGTCCGGGATTTGAACCGCGGTCAACTACATGGGAGTCCAGTGACATAGCCATTATGCTGACTGCTGGTCCCCTCCACAATTAACTTATTTTAAAGAAAAAATTTGAAATGTAAGGCTGTGTAAGATTTGTTTTAAACTGTACAGTGTGTTTTTCTGTATAGTTAACACTACCAAATGTGTCTTTAGATAATCCTGGTGGTATTTTCAATAGTCACTAACCTTCCCTGGTACAGTATCGAGGTCGTAAGTAGGCATGGAAAAATTTTTTTGAGAAGTTTTTGCTATAGGACGCGTGCACTCACCAGAAAGAGAGAGACAGAGAGATAGAAAGTGAGAAATCACCCCCAGGGTGGATGGCCACGTCACAATTCCTTCTCCTCCATTCTCCTCTTGGGATCTTGGGCATACACACAAATGTGTCCGGTGTGCATTTAAGCCACTGGGTCTGGGATTCGAACCACAGTCGACTACATGGGAGTCCAGCGACATAGCCATTACACCAACTGCTGGTCCTGGCATGGAAATTTATTTTTGAAATTTATTTATTTACATTCATTTACCATACATCATTATACCATACAAAATGAGATTTTCCTTCCAGGATACACTGTATATTAGCTCAATCCAGTACATGAACATATGTGTTATAATCAACAAATAATTTTCCATTTCTTGTTTCCTGTATATTTTGCTTTTTTCCCCATCTGTGATCTCCTATCTCTCACTCTCTGCCATCTCCCACCCTCCTCCCACACTGTCTCTGGTATCCATGGTTGCTTTCTATGCCTCTTTCCTCCCACATTTTGATTCACTAAAGATCTTAATTAATCTAAATATTTTCAATAGCAAGCACAGCTGATATGTACATATCCATGAATGCAAATCTGACTTTAGTCATCAACCTCAGTGAGTAGAATGAACATACTATAAAGGAGCACCTAGCTATGGCTATATAGCTTACTGCAGTCATCAAATAGGTATTTTAAATGCATTTTTTTAATTCCAAGAAAAAAGTTTTCATGTTTTTTTTTTTCTAAAACATTTTTTAAAAATTAATTAATTTACATTCATTCCCTAAGCATCGTCTCAGCATACAAAATGTGATTTTCCCATCCAGAATATACTGCATAGTGGCTTAATCATGCATGTTATCATCAATAATTTTCCATTTCTAGTTTCATATATATATATATATATATATTTACCCCTATTTCTGACCTTCTGCCCTTTCCAACAATTAACCATTTTAGAAGCAAGAACAACTATTTGATTTTCTCTTCTGGAATTGGCTTCCTCAGAAAAGATAGCCAGGCTACTCTCTCTTTGGGAACCAAAGCGTAAAAGGGGAAAACCCCACCCAGTACCAGGTCCCCATCTGTGCAGACAGTTGGCCTATGTTGTTCAAAACAGCTCTGAAATGTCAGCTCACATGTGGTATGGAAAGTCTGCAGGACTAGGAAGAGACAAATTTGACAGATTGACATGTCACTGTCTAACAAAGAGACAAACCCTACGTGTAGGCTGAGCTGAGGAAAAGATGTATGTGTATTAGATCTAAAGAATGAGCCCCTTCCAGGAAGAATCCAGCTCTGTGTAGGGCACAGCCGATTCCCAATATTACTGAACGCCCTCAGCCTGTAGAATGCATACATGACAGACTGGCGTGCCAGACAAGGGCACAGGTGGAGGCCAAAAGATGGCATTTACAAGGGACCTCACAGTGCTTAGACCTTTCTCTTAGTGCCACTGTGATGAGAGGAGCTCTGGCTTCCCTATCTGTTCACTGCTTCACTTCAGTCCCATCCAGGAGCTCTGGGGAATCCCCCTACCCTGGAGCGTTGCACCTGTCACCCCCATGTTGATAACACAATCTGGAGAAACATGTTTTAGACTTTCCTTCTCAGTTGTGTCCTCTGATTTCATCATGGTCCAGAAAGCCTTTGGGGATCACCCCATTCTCAGACAGCAGTCTCTGTACTCTTGTGTCCACTAGGGGCTGAGGGTGTTTGTATTGAACTTCTAAGGGAGATGTGGCAGGGTTAGAAATACCTGATGTTAAACAGCAAAAACATAAGTGTATTGTTAAAAAACTTCCAGAAACTCTGTGCAAGCAACAAAGATTGAGGTTATCTGTCTCTTATCGAAGGCACACTTTGCAAATAAATGATCTCTTTCTGAGAGTTCTTAATTCAATCTAATTATTGTTTCTTTTGTTGTGCAGAAAGTTTTTAACCTCATGTCATCTAATTTGTCTATTCTTGAAATTATTACTGGTGCTTTGGAGGCTCTGATTTAAAAAGACTTTGCCTATTTCAATGTCTCCCAGAGTTACCTTGATTTAGATTTTAGTGCAGCAGGTCACTTCAGAACTCTAATAAATAAATAAATAAATAAAAAGAAAGAAAAAAGTAGCTAACACAGAAGTGAGACAATCTAGAGAAACACATTTTAGACTTTCTTTCTAAATGGGGCTCTGTATTTCCGTCATGGTTCTGTATGACGTTTGATGAAGAAGGGAAAGAAATGATGCGGCCATTGATCATCCCTGTGCAACCTAAAGAAGACACTTTGCTACTATGTCTGCTATCACTTCTGGGCCTGCGGTGTCCTTCTAGAACAAATGGGCTTTTCATGATTTATGAAGAAGTAGGCCACATTTCAGAGAAAATTAGATAAACTCACATTGCCAAACTTTCACACAATTAAGCACTCATCCCCTAGGCAAGTTTGATTTTCTGTGCTCTCTGTGCCTGGTTAATTCCGGCACCAGGTCCTCCTAATTACATGGCTTGATGTCAGATTACTAAAGAGAAATCTATTCTTGACACAGCATTTTCTTCCTCCTTTTGTATCATTTTTCTTCTACCATTTTTCCCTTCAAATGATCTTGACAAAGTTTTCTAATTTATCTATTTATTTTTAATTTAACAATATAATAGATGCAAAAAGTGAAATCAGTTTTAGTTACTTTATAATATTATTATGCAAAAGGATGGTATTTTTATTTAAATCCCCCAAAATATACAATGGTCTTAAGACATCAGGGCTCATTTCTTCTAGAAATATTTCTGGTCTTTAAACCTTTAATAGAGTTCTTATCAGGCTTTATCAGAATAGTGTAGCACTTGGGGGCAAAGATGCAGCCCAAGAGCCCTGCACTGGAGACCAAGATGGAGAAGACCTCCACGGCCACCATGACCTTCCCCTTGGTGCTGTGGTAGACGGGCAGGAAGGTGACCCAGACACTGCAGAACAGCAGCATGCTGAATGTGAGGAACCTGGCCTCATTAAACGTTTCAGGCAGGTTCCTGGCCAGGAAGGCCACCGTGAAGCTCCCCAGGGCCAAGGAGCCCAGGTAGCCCAGGACACAGTGGAAGGCAGTGACTGAGCCCTTGTTGCACACGATGATGAGGCTTCTGGGCTCAGAGTGCGAGTCTGTGTCAACGAAAGGGGGAGAGGATCCCAGCCAGATTGCACAGATAATCACTTGGATCAGGGAGCAGATGGGAATGACAGAGTTAGAGGCCCCTGACAGCAACAAACGTCTCAGTGTTCTTCCAGGCGTCATGGCCTTGAATGCCAGAATCACAGTCATGGTTTTGGCCAAAATGGTGGAAACAGCCACAGTGAACACCAGCCCAAATGTGACCTGTCTGAGAATGCAGGTGGCTGTGTTGGGATGGCCAATGAAGAGCAAGGAGCAGAGGAAGCAGAGCAGAAGGGAGATGAGCAGGGTGAAGCTGAGAGCCCGGTTATTGGCCTTGATGATGGGAGTGTCTCGGTGCTTCACAAACAAGCCCAAAACCACAGCTGTGACCACAGAGAAGCAGAGAGCTATGCAGGCCAGAGCCATTCCCAGAGAATCCTCAAAGCCCAGGAAAGTGACAGGCTTAGGGAGGCAATGAGTTTTCTCACTGTTTGGGTACTGTTCAGGTAGGCATGGGAAACACTGCTGTGCATCTGGGGAGAAAGCAGAGATTCAGCATTTCAGTTTCACAAACCATAAGTGTTCGCCATGTTGATGAGGATAATCACTTTGACTGTCATTGTGAGTCCAGACTGCCTTTGATTGTAATAATGAGACACAGTGGATTGAGATACTACATGTCATTTTTTCTTAAAAGAGAGAATTTTTTGGTATATATCACAGACACTCCTTTTAAAGAAGAAAGAGAGAAAGTGAGAAATCAACCACCCTGGGGTATGGTCCTGCAGGAATCCCTTCCCCTCCATTCTTCTCTTCAGATTTTAGGCTCGCGCATAAACATGATCATTGTGAGTTTCATGCTGCAGCATCTGGTACTGTGGTCAACCCCATGGGAGTCCAGCGCCTTAACTACTATTCTACCTGAAGGCCCCAAGATTCTACATTTCTGACACAAGAAATCTGGCTTCACCTGTCTTATTAATATTATTCTTAGATAGTACTAGTGCAATAATAAATAATTTTAGAAGAATTTAGAATTTAGAAGATTAATCCTCTCCCAAATTTCTCTCTTTCGAGATGTCCATTTATTTTCATAGAGCCAACATAACTTCTGACTTCTGTCTCAGAAACATATCCGGCACACAAAAGTAAGTGTATGTTGGATCCAGACTTCTTTGTTCCTGTCTAGTTTTCTTGTCTTATACATACGTTTCGTGTTACAAATTTTTTATGAGAAAGAGAAGTCTTTATTTCTTTTTCTTTTTTTTCTTCTTTTTTTCTTTCATTTATTTATTTTTACATTTTTACACATTTACTTTACATAGCAAAAAATTTATTTCTTTTTCTTTTAAAGTCTTTTTCCTCCCTTTTACTTTGGGCTCTAGGGTTTCTGCACTTGTGGTAATCAAATAAGTACACACCATGGGAAAGTGAGAAATCACCCCATAGAGTAGATGGCCACCTGATAATCCCTATTCTTCATTTTCCCCTTAGGATTTGGGGCACACACACATTGAGACACTGCACACACACATGTACTTGCAGCCTCATCAGTGCGATTTTTAAGCTGCTCAGTTCAGTAATTGAATTGCAGTTGACCATGTGGGAGTCCAGCCCATTAACCACCATGACACCTATCGGCCCTCAGAGGGTATGTTTTCTTTCTTGGTATATCTCATAATATCTATTTAGCCTGCCATAAATAATATCAAATGATTTCTAGTGTTTAGATGACTGTAATTGCACAGTACTTATGAGAGTACTTAGATCATTGCAACATTCATTCTTTATATTCAGAAAATGGAAGCATGTTTAATGAATCTTTGTACATTTTGTATTTTAATATATCACATTTTGTTTGATATATAATTTATTAAATATATCCCTTGCCAACAGTTATTTGTGAGGTGCCAGAGTCTGGATGTCATTAGAATACTGAGTTCTCAGTCTTTAAAATATATTTTCTCACTTCTCCTCTCTCTCTGTTCAAACTAAAATAGTAATAATTATGAATAAACATAGTTAAAAGACTCTTTAAATAAAAGGACATGGTTGAAAAAAAGAAAGTATTTCCATAATATTTATTTATAATTGCTTTGTGGTTACAACATATTAAAAAATCCATTTTGAATCTTCAGGGCGCCCACAGATAGCGCTGGAGATTACACAGATTCCAGTCTGGTTTTTTAATTCTGTTTTGTTTTTTAAAAATATGGTAGAGGACATGTGTGCTCACCAGAGACAGAGAGAAAGAGAGAAGGAAAGAAAGAAAGCAGCATGGGGGGATGTCACACTGCAATCCCTCTTCTTTTTCTCCTTTTGAATTTGGGGCATGCACTCTTGTGTAGTTGGAGTGTTTTATAAGTCACTAGGTTCAGGATATGAACCACCTAGATGGTCATGTGTGATTCAGCTGCTTTAACCACCTAGCCACCATCTGGCCAACACCTGCCATGTCATAGGTAGACTTTGGCACAGTCACCATCAGACCTCAAGTGAGACTGCCTCAGCCAGTACTGGATTTAGGTGAAGGCATCCTTTGGAATCATGGGCCATAGTTGAGCCTAACCGGACACGCACAGCCAGTCAAAGTTTTAACTAATTACATGGCAGCTATCAGCATCATAATATGCATATATTGAAAACATGAGTGAACACGTGGATTGAGAACACTGGCCCCCGTGTCCTTATTTCCCTTCTGTTGAGAGACAGTGAGTGACATTATCATAGGGGACTTGTGTATGTTCCACCTGTCCAGTTGGAAATCTCTCTCTCAGGGCAAGAAACACAAAGGAAGCAGCAGATGGGTCTTTCCTCTTGTGCAATTTTCCTGAATCCAGGAGCGCAGCTCTGGGTACACACGGATGAAGGAGTCTGAGGGAAACACAAAATCATGCTTGGTACGTGGATCAGCAGCAGTTGTGACAGACATCTCTTTTTCTCCCTTCATAAGCAATAATGTAGACCTTTAGCATGAGTCCCTCCCTATGTCTTCCCCAGGTTGTACCATCTTGGTATTACTGAGACGTACAACTATGAGTTGCTATGGTAGCTGTCTTCTTTATTTCTAAATTATTTAACATATATTATGGTGGTACCTGATGAGTTGATTTTATACAGACTGACAACAACCGCTGGGTTATTTTCTCCTTATTTAACCATTTTATGCGACATATTTTCTTTCCTTTTTAATTTTTTAAAATTTCTTTCTGTTGTGTACATGACTGCGCCATATACAGAGACAGAAAAAGTGAAGGGAAAGTGAAAAAGCAGCCACTTCTGCACCCTGGGAGAACCAATCCCTTCTTCTCAATTCTCTTCTTGAGATTCAGGGCATGCAAACACAGGTGCCCAGCATAATTTTCAAGCTGCAAGTTTCAAAGAACCTAACCTGTATGGCATTTTGTAGCCACAGGTCTTAAATTGTTCAAATTTATTGATGTGCTTCTTATATTAGGGGATGATAGAGAGGCAGACACTCCCCATCGCTCTGCAGTTATCCACCCCCAGTGCCCAATCACATGCAAGTGTATATGCAACTGTCGTGAACACCAAGGCTTCTACATGTAAACCAGACACCTCTCCATATGGCTAGAACATGCCATGCCTGCTGCCCCACCAGGCCCTCACACCACCATAAAAATTCGATATAGAAATCGGGCCATACTTCTTGGAATGCATCAGGCCATTTCAGCATCTCCTTTTCAATGACCAAATCTTGATCGTGTGGACTCTTGGAGACAAACTCTCCTACTTTAACCAGCATCCAACTGTCATTAGGAAACTTCACCAGGTTCTGGATATCATACTGGGTCATATAGTGCTCACTGTCACCAAAAGACATGTTTTCCCCAGCGCTGTTTGTAAATGCAGTTTTCCTCAGAAATGAGTGGAGCTGGAGGAGAGGCATAATTTGTAAACAGGAAGTGCATTTAATGTAGATGTGGAAATTCCACATTCATCAAGTACTGCTATTTTCTTTAAAAACTATTTAATTTGATTTATAACTTTTTTTTTTTTCTATAGGACATGTGTTTGCAGGAGAGAGAAAGTGAGAGAGAGAAAGTGAGAAAGCAAGCCTCCAGGTCTGGGGCTCAAACTGCTGTCTGCTCTGTGGGAATTCAGCACTCTAATCACCAAGCCACTTGCTGGTCACTTTAGTACTCCCATTTACGCCTCCCTATGCTTAGGGTGTTTATTTATTTACTGATGGATCAGTCTTAGTTTTGTTCAGGTGGTCTCCATCTCATAGATTCTTGTGAAATAAACTCTACCCTCCCGTGAAAAGACTGGGAAAGTAGTGCCATTCTACCAGAGAAATTTCAGGATGTTTCCAGAAGGTAGTTTAGGCATGGGTTCTGTTACAATCCTGATTAACAGTGTTTGGTTGGGCTTCTTGGAAACTAATCTTGGTACTTTTCAAAGGGAACACAATGGGGCGCACAGGTAGTGCAGAGGTTAAGGAGGCTGTGTTCTGTCCTGGATGTGGCAGCTTGAAATACATTCTGGGGGCATGTGGATCCATGCCCAAAATCTCAAGAGGAGAATGCAGGAGGAGGGACTTTGGCATGTCCATCCACCTGGGTCCTGATTTCTCACTTTCCATGTGTCTTTCTGTGTCTCTCTTCAGTGAGTGCAAATACATTACAGCAAAAACAAATGAACAACTAAGAAAAAGACACAAGAGAATAAATACTTTAAATTCCTTGAGACCGGAGACCAGGAGATGACATAACGGTTACAGTGCTGAACTCCCATGTAGTTGACCATGGTTCAAGGCCCAGACCAGGCGCCTTAAAACTCATGCAGGGTGCAAGTGCGTGCATGCCTAAATCCTGAGATGAGAGGGGTTTGTGACGTGGCTATCCCCCTGGTGGGTGATTTCTCTCTTTCTGTCTCTCTGTATCTCTTGCTCTCAGGTTAGTGCACATGCCCTATAGCAAATATCTCTGTCTCAAAAAAAAAATCCTTGAGACTTGTGAACATGGTAGAAATGTATGCATATGTCCAAACTCATCGAAATGTATACATTAAATAGCTGTGATTTTGAAACTATCAATGACACCCTACTAAAACTTTTAAAAGAGGTCATAAAGTGTATTTTTTTCTTTTCCATTTTATCATTCTTCTTATTATTGGTGATTGTCACGTGATATTGCAGGGTGCAATCTAGCCCAGAAAGGGAAAATTTAGAACTCTCGAATTATAATGACTTAATTTTTTTTTTTAATGGCAAATATACTCGTCATTGAGAGACGCAGAGAAAGAGGCAAAAAGTGAGAAAATACCAGCTGCCTTAACCACCAGCCAACAGCTGGCCCCTGAGGAGGATTTTAATAAAGCGCATTAACTTTTTAATTTCTGAAGATAATGAAACTCTAGTGTGGAAAAGAAGAACTATTTTCATAAAACTGTTTATTTAAACTTTTAATTTCTTGGCATAGAAGTATTCTATACAGTCTATAATCACATCATCAGTACCATCTTGCTAGCATCTTTCAGAATCACCTCCAGGCAACCTCAGAGTGCAAATCAGTATTGTTATAGCTAGTACAAATAGAAATTAGAGGGTAAATTAAACTTTTTATCTAGTGGTTTTTAATAGAGTAACCGTGATTGCCAGAGTGAGACAGAAGAAAGTGAGAATTCAGCCCCCTTGGGTTGGGCGTCGGGATGACCATGCCTCAATATCTTCTCCTTTATCCACCTCTCAGAATTTTGTGCAAGCATGCACATGCGCCCAGTGCAATTTTTTTTTTTGGTAAAATAGAATTTTATGAGTTTTGAGTAAAACATTACAGACCTCCTCTATGCTTTGTTTTAAGATTTAAAGATTTTTTTTTCTTGTCTTGACCTGTAGATAGGTTCATGGACCCACTGTTTGAATTGAATCTTCATCTTTTTTCTGCTTTAAGTCACATTTTTGTTTTTGTGTTGTTTGTTTGCTTTGTTTTTCATGCTGCTTGGTCTGAGACTCAGCAGTGAAGTTGGTCATGTGGAATCCGGAACCTTACGTCCAAGTCACCTGCTGCCCCACACACTTTCCGATATTAGTTTTTACCTTTGTATTTACGTCTGTCTATATATTACAATTGCTTGTTTTATTCAAGGAATTCATGTAGCATATTTGGTCCTTGTGTATCAGCACAGGACTAGAAAAATACATTCTGTATGTGAGTTATAAACCAGGTCGGCTATTCTGAGCTTGCAATGAACACTAAATGGTGCCATATTTAAAAATCGGACCATGGTCTCTGCCCTCATGACTGTTGTATATTTTGTCAAAACAGTCATGTCTAAAAATAATTTTCTAGACTAAATATAGGGTAGTATTAGGTTGTCAGGGAAGTTGTGACGTACTTTTCCATGTTTTTCTAAGCAACATATAGGATGTTTTTCTGTTCTCTCCTAAAACATTATATGAAGGGATAAGGCACGCCGTGTACTTCACTGAGGATGAAATAGCTGGATCCATGTAGAGTCAATATGTCAGTATTTTATGGAGTTAAATACATTCCTAGGAAATGTAGAAATAAATATTGAGATATATTCATATATCCCTCTTTATTTTAGATTATTGCCATGAGGCATGTGTAATCTTTGGAGAAAAAGAAAGAGAGAGAGCGAGCGAGAAATCAACCCCCATCAGGGATGGCCACACTGCAATCCTTTCTCAATTCTCCTCTTGAGATGTTGGACACACATACACACCCTATGTTTTTAAACCTTCCATGTCTGGGACTCGAATTGCAGAATCAGCCATGTGGGATCCAGTGCCTTAACTATTATTCTACTTTCTGGCCATAGATCTATGTTCTTTTTTTCCCCTGAGTCTTTTATTATATTTTACATAATTTCATCCTATATTAGTAAATCTTTTACCGATACAATTTCTACTCAAGCCCCAAGTGGTAGAAATCTTCCATCAGAGAGCACAATAACACAACACCCCAATGTGACAGAAACATTTTTTCATTTTGACCTATAGTGTTGCTTTTTCAGTAATTACAGGTTCATGATCTTGTCTGCTAATAAGATAATTCCAGATGCCATGAAGTGCCCAGGGCATGCCCTAAAAGTGGGGAGGTCTACCTGCCAGGGAAGAAGCAGAGGCCGCTCTGTACCACCTGGACATCCCTTTTCGCTTTTTTCCAAAAGAATCTTATGGACGACTTGGGCCACTGCGTACACAGCATTGTAGATCAAATAGCTGGAGTCAGACAGGGACAGCATGTCAGTCTTGTCTTCCATGAACTCTAAGGAAGAATTTGATGGGCAGACTCTAAGTTCTGGGCAGTGTGATCCATGAACTGTGCAATCGAAATTGAGTAACCAGAATTGAGTAAAGTAAAGATCTTGTGGGTATTGGTATGGGTTAAGTGTCCTGAGGAATTGCTTAAAGCCAGGGATTTCCTTCTTCTGGTATGAAAATGAAAGGCTTCCATGGAGTAAGGGAAGTATGTTCTTGGAGTTACGGAAAATAAAATCCCACCACGGTCGGTGGGGATTTCCCATGATCCACACCTTCCCTGATGCCGAATTAACATATTTCAGCTGGTCCAAGATCATGAGGCTCCCTAAATCACCATATATGACATACACATTTGCAGATGAAATTCTGATCCTCAACACGAATTTGAAATCGCGATATACACCGAAGCCTGTAGTCATAGGGAGCTTCTCTGTGAAGGCCACACAGATATCTTGTCTAAGCATCTGTGCTTTTAGATCCTGAAGGAACTGCTCCCCTTTCGTATCATCAGGTACGAAGAGTGCTACCCATGTCCAGCCAAAGTGGTGCAATAGCCCGATGAGCCCAAGGGTCAGAAAACTGTCCTTTGGGGCTATTTGATAGAGTGATGAAAACTGGTTTTTATTGCTTAGGATGGGATCAAAAGGACCATACGTGATCTGAAATAAGAAATGAAATAGCGTGATTACGAGTTTGGGTGTTTGGGGCCTTTCATTTATTTATTTCTTAGGTTATCCAAAAGTCATGATGCATTTTTGGAAAGAAAAACATAGGTAAAATAAGTCATGACTTTATGGATGACCATTTATGGACTTATTCATTTATTTCTTTGTTTACATTAAAGCACTGTGTATCATTACAGCATACCAAATGAATTCTTGCATTTGAATACACTGTATATTGGTCTAGTCAAAGCTAATACCATACATTTACACATCAACAGGTAATTTCCTATTTTTGTGTCCTTTAAATGCTTTGATTCTTTCTTTTTTTCACTTGGATTCCCTCCCTCTCAATATTATCGTGCAGTTCCACTCCTGGGTATTTACTCAATGAATAGAAATGAGCTCAGTTGGAAAAACACTTGAACATCCATACACATGCCATCCAGTGCAGTATTATTCATAATTGCTAAGACAAGAACCACTCAAATGTCCCTGAACAGATGAATGGATTGAAAATGTACATATAGTGTGTACGTGGCACATAGACAAAACGGAATGCCAATCAGTCATTAAAAACAATTCGACCCTGGCATTTGATAGAAAGTGGGGGAATATGGAAGATTTACTAGTAGGTGAAGGAAGCCAGATTATTAAAGAGAGGCACTGTATATCCCCTCTCACTACATACCAAATGTCTATACTCTATGGCAGGAATGAAAAGACTAGATGGTAAAAAGTCATGGGGCTGCTTCTTTTTGAATGGGAAAAGAGAGAACTTTCTACATAACGAGACTAGAAAGCAAAAGAGCCAAAGAGAAAGACTACAGTAGAGGAGATTTTGTTCTGTTAGTCTGGTCATAAAATACAGTTTCCTAGCCTCATTACTTTTAGGAAATGAAATGTGACTGTACCAGGTCAAATCTAACACTTCCATGTAAAACCATGAAATAAAAACTGTGAGGTCCTATGTGCTCTGCATCTCCTGCTGTGGGAACTGAAGGTGAAGTGGAGTTCATGAAGATGGGGCACCACCAAGGCGGTGGTGATGTCTCCATCCTGGGTCTTATGCAATAACATATTACTTCCTTAGAAGTCAAATTAGATATAAATCCTGAGATAGAATTAAAACTTTAATTTTTATGTATTTTATTTTTGCCAGATGATGAGTGTGCTCATGAGAGAAATAGAGAGAGAGAAGGCAACTTCCACCACACCCACCATGGGGAATGATCATGCAGCAATCCCTTCCCCTCTGTTTTCCCTCATGTTAGACTTCTAGACATGCATGCTCATGTGCCTAGTGTGTTTGTTTCTGAAGCTGCTGAGTCTGACACTTGAACCAGACAGTTGAACTTGGGGGATCCAGCTGCTCCAAGTACCATCCATGGACTGGCTTGAACTCAGTCTTTATTGGACTTACTCTTGATACTCTGGACTTAATTGATCACCACAACACAACCTATGTTGTCTTTAGGACTGACCCTCTCTGATTCTTGGAAATGTTGAGTCATTGGAAAAGTCCTGAGGTATATTTGTTTTTCTCTGCAATAATGCGTTATAACTCTTCTGGTGACCCAATATAATTATTCCAGAATAAGATTCACTTAAGATTATATTGCCTGTGTCTGTCTTGTCATAATGCCTCTGCTGACAAATGATTGTGTTAGAGAGTGTCCCTGCAAAGACTCCCTGAGGTGGGAAGCTGTATATGGAGTGTTATGGAGGGCTTTCACCCCAAGTCATTGACCTGCATGGGTGTGAAAAGGATCTGCTGGGCACAGGGCCTCATGAACCACAAATGTAATTGAGAGGCAGCTCATTTTGACATGTCCTGGGATGGAATGTCTCTTTATTTTTGTTTTCAATAGAGGGTCGATATCCAGGACTTGTCATTTCTACATCTATCATTGTCCTGTGGATGTCCCCAATGATGTCTTAGTCTATGTTGGAGTGGATTACTGTGTTGTGAATCTTTCCTAGGAGGCATACAACTGAGGGGTGTCAGTAGTCAGTACTACACGTGGCAGGACTTGGATGAACTGTCCTCCTATAAGACTTTGAGTTGAGGCTCAGGCCTCCACTGTACCGCCTTTTTCCCCCTCATCCTTTTCACTATTTATCTGTTTCCTTAAACACAATTTTTGTTTACGTTCATTCACTGTATATCATTACAAAAGACAAAAGGAATTTTCTCATTTAGAATAATACCCTGTGGATTGGCTCAGTCAAAGATATTACTACACACATTATCTTTGAAAGCTAATTTTCCATTTTGTTTCTTAAATATTTTACTCGTTTTTATTTTACCCTTGGTTTACCTCTCCCTCTCACCCTCTGTCATTTCCCACTGTCCTTCCACACTGACTCTGGCATTCTAATGACTCAGAAAATTCCAGATATCCCTTTATAACTCTCAAGGTATAATTAAATGGTGTGATTGCAGGTCAGATGAGATCAAATGACATTAGGAAAGATCCAGACATCACCAATCAGAACTGATACCGTGCTTACCTGTGGGATTTTGTAGAGCTCCAGAAGGCTTCCAAGCTCAGCTGCAAATGCTGATGTGGTTCCTGAGAAGACAGCAATAGGCTGCTTCTTTCTGTTGCAGTTGTAGTTGGGGAGAGGCTGACTCCCTCCTGAGAGTAAGACCACAGCACTCTCCAAGGTCCTTTGTTGAGTGGGAAAGGCGTTGTAGAGATCAGAGCCCAGGGAAAGGTTGGGGAGCAGATGGGGGCTCTGGTTAATCTCCTCAATGACAAAGAGAAAAGCCAATACATATTGGTAATTCTTCCAGAACCACCTGAGCAGAGAAGACATCATCAGACAGAATATTTAAGTCACATAATTTAAAAAAACTCTGGGGGCAGCAGATTGTGTGATGGTTAAGGCACTTGGACTTCTGCATGATTGACTACAGTTTGCTTCCTGGCCCTGGTGGCTTGAAA